ACGGGCCGTGACGTGGCAATCGCGACGCGCAAGAGCGTTCGCGCCGCCGACTTGTGGCTGCAGCCACCCAGCCCACCACCTAACCCTCTCAGCCCCACCCTGCCCGCCGCCCTTCTCGCTCGGCCATCCACCGCCTACCCTCCTCGACCCGTCCGACCACCGCCCGTGTGCTGACGTGGCGCGCGCGATAGCCACCCGGCTCATCGCCTGTCCCACCACCGTCCCACCCTTCGCCTTCCCCTCCGTGCCACGTTCCGACAACGCAGCGCCCTCGGCATCAGCACCCGACCCTCGACAACGACCCTGCGAGCCCGTCGTCAAGAGACGGGCTCGTACCGTGGCGTATGCAACGCCCAGGTTGGGCTGCCGCGCGTCCCAGTACCGCGGCTCAAAAGACCGCGACCGGCTCCAGCGACGCAGCCAATGCGTCGCTGGAGCCCCTGTGGAGAGCCTACCGGCAGATAGGAGGCCGGACTCGACCAGGAGGGCCATACATAAGGTGAGTGGCCCATCCGCTACCCGCGCCCCCCTCCGCCCTCTGCCACCACGACCTGACCGTCAACAGGCTCGGCTACGCCGCTCAGGGAAGCGCTACGCGCGACTCCCCCGCTGGCGAGTCGGGACGCAGCTCGCCAGCGTCGCCCCGCCCTCCGCTAGACGCCCCCGCCACCCACGAACTCGACGCGCGCAAACGCCAAGCGGCTGGCGAGCCCTACCAATCGCTCCCGCCCACCCTGCATTCGACAAGGCCCTCGGCGACATGTGCCCGGGCCCGTCGACAAGAGACGGGTCAGGTAACGTGGTCACTGCGCGCGGCAAACCCACCACCTGCCATGTCGCCCACATCCCCCTCCCTCGCGCCTCCCTCGCCCCATCAGACCACCCTTCGACCTCAACATCGGCGCGGCTAGGCTCGTAAGCCCCACACGCCCGCGCTGACGTGGCCCGATCGACAGGGACCAGCCGCCCCCCCATCCCTCCTCTCTCGCCGCCATCCCTCCTCTCTCGCCGCCATCCTTCCCCACCCTCCCGCATTCCCGGCACCACCCCCTCTCGTCTTCTCAGAACCACCCCCCGCCTCTCCCGCTCGCCTTGCGCTGCCTACCGCCTGTCGAGGATACGCCGCGCGAGCTCGTCGGCAAGACGGGGCGCGCAACGCGCCCAGCTCGCTAGCCGCCGCCGCTCCTCTCCTTCTCCCCTCCTTTCTCGGCCCTCCCTCGCCCTTGCCCACGGCCACCGACCCTCAAGACCGACCCCCTCGAGCCCGTCTTGCAGAGACGGGCTAGTGACGTGACAGACGCGACGCGCAACCGCGTTCGCTATCGTCGGGCCGCCGCGCGTCCGAAGACTGCGGCTCAAACGGCCCTTACTGGCTCCAGCAACGCGATAAGTGCGTCGCTGGAGCCACGGTGGATGTATGTTAGGTCCGAGGGAGGGAGGATGTGACCGGAGGAGCTGCCATCAAGGTAAGTTCCTTTCCCTCACCGTCTTCCCCACTCCCACACCCTCTGAGCACGGCCGGACCGTCAGAGGGTCCAGGCGCGCCCCTCATGCATGCAGCGTACCCGAGACGACGCAAGCAAGGCCCGCCCGCCGTCCTGGAGCCCCGCCCCGCCGTCACAAGTGCGCCAGTGGCGAGCTCGACGGATCGCGGCTGCTGTTCAGCACGCCCCGCTCGACGTCGGCGAGCCACGCGCCGCCGTCGTGAGCCCGTCGTGAGCCCGCCGCTGTATGTGAGACCCAACGCCGTGTGAGGCCCGCCTCCATGTGTGGTGACCTGCCGCCATATGAGTCCCGCCGCCGTATGAGTCCCGCCGCCATGTATGAGTCCCGCCCTCGCCGTGTTTGAGCGCGCCGCCGCCGTGTGAGTGTAGTTCCCGTATGCGAGTGTGCCGTCACCGTGTCCGAGCACGCTGCCGCTGTGTGTGAGTGCGTCGTGGCTGTTCGCCAGCCCCGCTGCGTGTCGTCTGAGTACAACGCCGGCATGTCTGAGTACAGTGCTGCTGTGTGTGAGCACACCGTCACTCAGTGTTAGTCCCGCAAGTGTCTGTACATGCAGTCACTGCTGTCTGACCCGCCATCTGTGAGCCTTGTGTGTATATTGTACAGTAGTAGCTGTTGTAACACAATCAATATATCTGTTGAGCTTCGGCATGCTGTGTGGCCCACTCTCGTGCTCTGTTCACACACAGGGAGGTTATTATGAGAGTGTATGGCATTATAAATGAGTATAACTAGGCACAGATATTAGAGATGGGCTAATGAGTGGGGAGCATAGGGAATGAGTGGGCATGTGTGTATGGTGCACGATATGTACAGTATGAGGAGATTAGCAAGCCCTAATGTAACACAGACAGGGAATAAGGCTAGTCTTCATCAGAGGTTGGGAGTGAACTGAGATCTGAACCACTGAAATCCTCGGCCACTTCCTTACCCTTCCCCTTATCTGCAGCCTTCAAAGCAGCACGATCTGCACGCTTCACCTTCTTCTGAGCCTCCTTCTCAACCTTGCGCCTATGCTTCTTTGCCGCGCGTGCCTTCCGTTTCTCTTCATCAGTCCGCGCCGGTCCTTTCTCTCGAGTCGTCTCGCGCATCAGCTGTATGCTCTTCTCAATCTTCGTGATCTGCCAACCGGTCAGGCTGCGGTCAAGTGTGAGTCGATCCTTGTCGATAACGACTCCGCCGCCCTCAGTCTTCTGATAGTGCTTGCGTGCTCCCATAGTCAGGCATTCCCAGTGAGTAAAGGTCTTTTTCTCTGGGACAGACCCCTGGTTGATCAATCAGTATATGGTACAGAAGGGACAAACAAGTAGGACTCACATCTTTCCGCCTGATTCCCGGGCGGGGACGCACAACAACAACATCGTTGGCATCGAACGTTCTCCTCGCTTCGCACATAAGTACATAGGACACATGTCAAATTGAAGACTCACAACGATGACACTGAACAGCCTCACACTTTTCAGTTGTAGGCCCTTCAGTAGTCCATGAGAGCGCAGTCGAAGCCTGACTCGAGATCGCATGAGGCACTGCATTGTGGACATGGACTTTGCGGCGTGCTTCGAGATCTGCTAGGGACGACCCAGCCTTGTTAGACTCAGCTGCAGCAGCCATCCCCGCCGTATGGTCTCGAGCATGAGCCTCAGTGTTCTTATTCTAAAGACAAATTCAGCTGATGTAGACCATGTACAAAAGCACACGTACAAAACGACCCTTCTTTCTCAGTCTTTCACGACTGAATTCTTCCGGCTGGTGCAACGTGAGCTTAGCATGAACACGGCTCAACAGAATAACACATACTGTGACAGACCGCTCTCGCCGCATCACCGCTGCTGGAAACGGTGCACGTTCCGGTTCAGGCATCGGAGCAGGCGTTGGAGCAGGCGTCGGAGCAGGCGTCGGAGCAGGTGTCGGAGCAGGTGTCGGAGCAGGTGTCGGAACAGGCGTCGGAGCAGGCGTCGGAGTCCACTCAGGTGTTGCACGTCGTGTACGCTTCGATGCTCTTGGCGCAGGGTCGGGCAGTGGCGTCGAAGGGCCAGGCGGCTGCGTCAATGCGTCGGGCGGCAGCGTTGAAGCGTCGGGCGGCACCGTTGAAGTGTCGGGCGGCGGTGTCGAAGTCCGTGGACGCTTGGACACTCGTGGTGGACCAACAGATCCAGCCTGCGGAACAGCCCGCTGGGTTGTTATCAAACCCGGTGACCCCTACAAAAATACGAGTCATTACGTCTCCATTCAACAGACGGAAACCAATGCTTACGTCCTCCTCCGGTAACGACGCCCCAGCAGCAAGCGGAGATCCATTGTTGTCGAATGCTCCTTGCCAAATGTCATCCTCACCTATGTTGACAGCCAAAGGCTGGCCCGACTTGTCCAGAACGGCACGCTTATGTCGAGGTTGTACTCGGAACAACGTGTCAGCTGGGACTTGGGACAGAGTAAGTGAACAGACAATGAACAGAGCAAGACGGTACTCACCATTCGTAGGCTGATCACCCGTGGGCTTAGGGTTTGATGGTACTGGGGTAGGAGTTCTAGCCATGCTGTACCGGCTTGTGAGCCACGAAAAAACCCGAAATTAATACAGATACTCACCTGATATCGAAGCAGCAATCTTTGAAGCACCAAACGCGTGAAGAAAACAGAGAACGCCCGCAAGAATTGCGCGCGAGAGGTGGGCGAAAGGTCGAGGAATAATCGCGCTGGCGCTGAGCGCGCGCGTCGGCACTTGCCGGGCGGGCGCTCAACCCCGAACGCGCGTCGTCGTCTACTGAGTTCTCTCCTCCTACCCTCCTCCCTGTGTACCGCTACGCCGCCTCACTCTCGCCCGCCACACCCTCTTGCTCTACACACCCACCCGCAACGTCGACAGCACCCCGAGGCCGCCGCCGCACACGCTCGCCAGCAAGACACGGGCCGCGCGTCGCAACCCGCGCGACCCGTAATGCCAGGTAACGCCCCTCTCTCCTTTCCGACACCGGCTCCCTCGCGCCACCAACTACCGCTCCCCTCTACAGCACGCACCGCGAGCGCGTCGACGAGCGACAGCCTCATGACGTGGCACGCACGACGCGCAACCGCGTCCGCCTCGGTCGGCCGGCCGCGCGTCCGAGCGTCGGCCCTCAACCGGCGATCGACAGGCTCCAGCGATGCACTAAGTGCATCGTTGGACCGTCGGGGGAGAGTCCCAGAGGCAGGGTTGGCCGGTGGAGCTGCGGACAAGGTACGTACCCGCTCCCGTCTGTTTCGGCTCACCCACCAGACCCCGCCGCGTCGCCCGCCGCCTCTCATCCTCTGCCTCTCGCCCGCGCCTGGTGATTGCCAGCCGCCGTCGCCCTCCTGCTCCCATCTCCAACGCCCCTCCCGTCGCGCGCCCTGCCGCACCCTGTAGAGGACCCGCCGCGATGCGCACAAGAGCACATCCGGGCCCGTCGGCAACAGACGGGCCACGGGAAGTGCGCGCGTGCAAGCCGCCGCCCAGCATCGTCCGACCCTCCTCCTGCCGCCCTCGCGCCCTCGTACGACCACCCCCCTCAACCACACGCCATACGAGCCCGCCGTCAAGGGCCGGGCTCAGAACCTGGCCCGTGGGACGTGCAATTGCGTCCCTCGGCTGCTCGGACGCGCGTCTGAAGATCGCGCGTCCGAAGACCGCGCGCGCGGAGACTGAGCGTCGAGCGGCCACGGGGAGGGGAGTAGAGCAGCTAGGGAAAGGAGGTGGCGGCAGGGACGGCCGTCTGCGCAGGTGAGTCCACCATCCTATCGCCGAACGTAGCCCTCTGACGACCAACTACCCGAGCGGACGAGCGAGAGCACCCGCGCGCCCCAGGAGCCCAGCCACACCGCGACGAGCACCAGCCCGACGAACGCGGGCTCGCCGCGCACGGACGGCCCGAGCGCCACGCGAGGCAGTGAGACGAGCACCAGTCCCACGACAACCCGCCCGACGCGCACAGGTACGACGCGCAGGAGCTCGACGAGCTCAAGCTGGACGAACGCGGGCTCGACGCGCACGGACGCGCAAAGCCCGCAGCGAGCGAGCGTGAAGAGCCCCACGACGACCCGCCCGACACGCGCACGCACGCCGAGCAACAGCCCGACGTACACGCGCATCAGGCCAGAGCCCGATACGCCCAGGTACGACGCGCAGGAGCTCGACGAGCACAAGCCGGACGAACGCGGGCTCGCCGCGCACGCACGCGCAAAGCCCGCAGCGAGCGAGCGTGAAGAGCCGCAGCCCCATGGCGACACGCCCCACGCGCGCAAGCACGCCGAGCAGCAGCCCGCCGTACGGGCGCAGCAGGCTAGAGCCTGACGCGCTCAGGTACGACACGCGACAGCTCGACAGACACCACCCGCCTGCTGCACGCAAGCCCGTCCAGCATACGCACGACGACCGCACGGACACCGGATGCGCGCCCGACCGGCCCAAGCCCGACGAGCACGCATTATACCCCCTTCACCTAAGTCCAGGGGGGGTCAGCGTGCCCTCAGCTTGCCTTATATGGTAATTCCTTTTTGGGCCATTACCATATAAGGCAAGTGCTGACTTCGGGCCGCACCTACATGTCTCAGGGGATCTCGCGCGGGCGCGCGAGATCCCCTGCGCACCTCTCAACACCAGTTATGTGGACTGCGTCAAGACCAACATCCAGTACTGAATGTCAGGGGTCTGTGCACTGGCGCGACATCCCCTGGGACATATGCCAGTCCCATGTGCCATGCACGCACCACGCACCATGTGTTAGGGGATCCTGCGCACCCGCGCGAGATCCCCTAGAAAGGGTACGCGCGCACAACACATCCATGTACTCAAACATTGTACACATACAGTCTCCCAGGGGATACTGCGCACCCGCGCAAGATCCCCTAGAAAGGGTATGCATGTATGATACCCCCATGTACCCACACAGCGTACGCACATGGGCTCCCAGGGGATCCTGCGCACCTGCGCGAGATCCCCTGGAAAGGGTATGCATGTATGATACCTCCATGTACCCGCACAGCGTACGCACATGGGCTCCAAGGGGATCCTGCGCACCCGCGCGAGATCCCCTGGAAAGGGTACGCGCGCATGACACATCCATTTACTCAAACATAGTACACACAGTCCCCAGGGGTGCGCGAGATCCCCTACAAAGTATATGCATGTATGATACCTCCATGTACCCGCACAGCGTACGCACATGGGGTCTCAGGGGATCCTGCGCACCCGCGCGAGATCCCCTAGAAAGGGTACGCGCGCACGACGCGTCCGTGTACTCAAACGTAGTACACACAGTCTCCCAGGGGATCTCGCGCGCGTGCGCGAGATCCCCTCAAGCACATGTCAGCATCGCGAACCATGCCTTAGGTTCCTCAAAGTAACCTATTGTCTCCGGTACTGCGCGCACCATGTAACAGGGGATCCCACCCTCCCGCGCAAGATCCCCTTGGAGGAGTACTGTGTTTCGTAGTATGCGCACATACATTATTGGGATTCACGCGAGCGCGCAGCATCACCTCACTTCCCAATGCTTGAGAACATAATGCACGCACATGGTCTCAGTGTGCATGCACATTGCAGCCGCAGCATCTGAGACACGATAACAAGCTGTCAGATCAATCTGATCGATTGTGTGTGATGAAGTGATCGGTTCTGAGCGCTACAGATGTCCGTACATAGACACACACAAGGCTATCGCTAATCTGGGAATTGCCGATCACACCCCGATGTCCCATGTACAAACGACAGATCCGCTCAAAATTAGACAGAGATACAGATACTAAGATGCCTAGGACATGAAACGATTCCAGTCCGCGTTCAATTCAATCTCTAACATGTCCGCAAGGGCGATCGCTTCTGCCTCCCTTTTGTACAAGCCCATGTACTGGTCCATCACTGGCCATAACGTATCCATGAGGTTCTGCTCACATACGATCGCGTCGAAGCGGGCGCGCCGCTCATCCAAGTAACGCTCCAGAGCCTTAGGGTCCCAAACTTGATCCACGCGTATCACGAGTTGAGTGTCAGCCTCACAGGTATACGCCATGCGCTTGCCCATGAGCTCTAGTACCCTACCCGCGTACGGAGCCGCAAATTTGATGAATTTGGCCATGAACTCGGCCGACATGTACTCGTGTGGGTTATTGTCAAACGCGGCACTCATCCTGTGCGGCCACGATGACTGCCGGTGCAGGCACAGTTAGTCTGAGGGTTACCCAGATACCGACATGATGGACACTCACCGCTACCGTGCACATTATTCCCAATCCGCGTGTCAAGCACTGCTCGCATGTCTCCGAGTTTGGACGTACGTCGCAATTGGCACTGCGGTGGAAGATGCACATTGCACACCGGTCGGCGCCATGCATCTGTAGGTAGCGAGTCAGCCCTGGACGCCACTGAGTACCTACAACTAGCAGGGGTCCGTACTGATTTTGGCTGTTCACGGCGCGGGCACGCTAAGTATTCACCGGCTTGAGAATGGTCAGTCCGCTACTTGGAATATAAATGCTCGGTACTCACCGCTGGCTTCGCACGTCGTTCCACTACCACCGGCAGACACACTTTGGGGAGTGTTGGAGCTGGACATGGCAGCGACTTGAGAAGAGAAGACGGCACCTGACATACCGAGTGCTATGTTTTGCGTCATGTGAGTTGTGTGGCGGCGGGCGCTTCCTGCGGTACGAACCTCCGTTCGGCCACAGTGAGCAGTATTGCATTCACACGGTAAAATCAGTGGTTGCACCCCGGTATCCGCATTGATGTCGCGACGTTGTATTGCGCATGCGCAGAGTCCTGCGCCAATGCGCCTATTTATACAAGTGGCAATATGCGCAGTAGTATGTACTATGCGGTGCGCATCCTTGGATTGTTGTTCCGAGCCTGAGGAACATTGATTGATATGGCAGATCCATGAATGCATGGACGCGCAAGCTCACCATGAACGAGCAGGGATCATCACCGGCATGATCAGTGCAACGTGCGCAGATCACCTCATGTGCGCGCACCGCGCAGTAGGTTGCGTTTGACGCCTGACATTGTATACATCGTTCGCTCGCACGACGCTATGCTAACCGTGAGTTTGGACGCGTCTGTCATGGGACATCACCACGCACCACGACCGTCACTTCCCGTCGCATGCGACTCTCTGCTGCGCATGTGGCGTGTCAATGCAACCGGTCAATATCATAGCTGACATCAAGTTACCGGTGTGTTGCGGCAGGTTTATCGCAGTCATCGGAGTCGAACAATGAGTACAAGTGCCGCCGGCCACTGCAGCATATCTGATAGATCAGATGCGGGAACGTGCGCGGGGCGCCACGCATATCCATACATAGACGCACATGATCTTGATTTGGATTCCACAAGAAGAAGTATGTACTCTACTAGTAAGACCATACGCGAAGTCTCGAACGTGCCTCCTGACGTGCGCGCTGCTCTCTGAGCCGTTGTAACAAGCGCCTGTAACTTCCATCGTATGCGTATAGCATGAGCGTCATTGTTTTGACCGCTCTCCAACTATAGTAAATCTCAAGATACTCCGTCTTATCGCTCTCGTAGAGCGGCGAGAGCGGATTGGAAAGACGCGGGTATACTGTGTGGTGAAAGTGTTCATAAGCGTGCGCATGGCGCGCGCGCTGGGCTTCCCATGCGTGTAAAACCAATTGCAGATTGGCCATGAAGTGGTGGCTGAGGTAGTAGGCTGGTTCACTCTTGACGCGCTGCCACATGCGTGCCCTCGATGGTTGCTGCCCAAGCACACCTGGTCGGTGCTATGTTCATTGAGAAATGCGATGCTCACCACGGTCACGGTACACAGTATCTGGACGCCCAAGTCAACGCATTGGGAGCAGCTCATAGAGCCCGGAAGCACATCACAGCGAGCATGCTGAAGACATGTGCAAACTGAGCATTTCTCGTGAGCCGTAATGTACTGCCACCAAACATATGTCAGTAGGCACAGCGGCGGAAACAGTTATGTAGAGAGGACGAGTTCGCACGCTGGAAATCGACACCGGTTCCGGTGCCTGTTTTGTATCTCCTTCTGAGCTTGGATGAGTGCGAGGCGCGGACGTTTGGGGAATGTCTTACCTCGGTTGCGTTGCAGTCCTGATTCGGCACTGCCCCACCCATATATGAACGGTGATGCATACATGGTGAAGTTGGTACAGTTGAAACCGACGATGACGCCCGGTATCATCTTGGAGCGCAAGGCAAACATGCGTAGCCCACACACGGTCATGTGAGACACGCACGCGAGCGCGACACTTGGGCGGCCCCTGGGGACGCGATCATATGATCTGTTGACGCGTACAGCGGTAGGCGCTTGTTGGTCCACTTCGCGCTTCATCGTTCCGTTGTCGCTTCTTTCGGCATCTTTGCCTGCTCTCGCCGCGTTCATCAATCTTGGCAACACCGCATCACGCGCTTGTCCACGCCCGCGGGCCCATCGCATCTCTACACGCAACACCTACCATGGTCGGCACATGGACGGAGAAGCATACGCAGAAGTACTTTCGGGCCGCGGTGAAGAAACGCGTGGATTTCATCGGCACGCGCAAACATTTAGAGTTTACGGACCAGGTGCCGCCCACGCACGAGTGGACGGCTGAGCTGCTTGAGCAGTTCAACCGCAACCTGCGTGGTGTGTACAATGGGCCTTTTGACTGGGAGACGACGGAGGTCCTGTTGATGAAGTACATCATGGTGCGTCGCATGCTCACAGTGTCTCGGATGATATGAGTCAAACGTGCGTCAGACGGACGACCTCTTGAACTCGCTCAAGAATCTATCGAAAGACGTCGCGCTGCCTCACCTTGTGCGGCTCGTCCTGGACTGGGCCTGCTGGGACCCGCCGGAGGAGGGAGCGTGGCCGCCGGGCTTGAGCATGCGCCGCTACTTCATGAAATGGTGCCACTGCGAGCCGCTGAACTTCAAGTCGGACACGTCGACCGACGTCGACATGGAGCAGGCGGCCAACGCTCTGCTGGATATGTGGATCGGTGAGTGCATCACCGTGTTCGTGTGTGCGTGCGCTCACTGTGTCCCGCTGGTCAGCCAATGACCGTCTGTATGGTGCGTTTGTTCCTCTTTGGTCGGTTGTGTGAGTATGACGATTGGCGCGCATGTACAGCGGACACACCTGTGCAGTATCGCGAGGCGGAGGATGTCCCTGGGGTGACGCAGTACAAGTTGAGGATGCAAGATGTCACGGACGAACAGCGACGCGAGGCGGCGGAGGCGTTGGAGGCATACCT